AGACGGACACCCTGCAGCCCTAAAGCAGAACCACCGCCCTGCGGTAGCTAAAGCAGCTGCGACCCTCGCTTTACTAGAGATAAGGAAAAATCGACCAGCGGAGCACGAGCTGCGCCTCCGAATTAAGACACCTACCATTAACAATGCAAGCGCGAAGCGTGCAAAGCGCAAAACAAAACTCGCCTTGAGAAGTGGTGCTGGCCGCCCCTTTACTCTAGCAGTGCCGGGGTGCTTCCCTTTCGGAATACCCTCTTTTGCATAATAAGTGCTGCTTCTTCGCACCCTTTTCGGATTATGAAGGGGTACACACCGAAGGCGGGAAGGGGGGGGGGTTAGCTCGCTCCCCTTTAAAGCAGGAGGGGTGCTGCTATCAGATCTGAACCTACGGTTTCCCTTGACTAATTGCGAAGGGGAAACCTTCGAGGTCTTACAGAGCTTTGCTGAGTCTACCTTTACACCTTAGATATAAGGCTACTGCGCTCTAATTCCCCACAAGGGGTATAAAAAGGCTGGTATACTTTCGTAAAGTTAGTAAGTATAACGAAGTAATTAGTTAGTAGTACAAATGTACTTCAGAATCTTTAAAGCTAGTGATGGTACGGAGAGGAGCTGCCCCGAGTTGCTATGCTTCAGGTTGAAAAATAAAGCTTCTTACCAGAATTGAACTGATCTTTACTTCGTGAAGGGAAGTTGTTTTAACCACTATACCAAAGAAGCTTAAATTAAAAAGCGCTATTTAAACAAGGTGATGCTAGATGCTAGATGATAGAAACTAGAGACTATAATTTATTTATTAGCCTCTCCTCAGCTTACGTCCGCTACTGCTGCGAGACTAAGGGTCCTAACCAACGGTCAAGAGGAGAACCCTGAGGGCTGGCATTGCTCGTAAGGATCCTTCTGCTTTTCTCGCCTGCGTAGGTATGGTAGCGAGTATGGTAAGGGCGAGCGCGGGTGGTATAGAACTGGAGCCTTCGGAGTGCAGGCTGGTTTTTTTGGTGAGCTACGGTTGCAGGCAGAGTCAAGCTACCGCAGGCAACGCGGCTTCCTTGCGCTGCCTCTGAGGGACAGCAGGGGAGTGAATCTTTGCAGCGTAGGAGGGCTGAACCTATGAACTTCTTAAAACTAGAACAACTAGACCACTGAATCAAGCAGGGAGGAAACTAAGAATTAAGGAAGTATTAAATTGGAGTGCTTTAGTTGTACCAGTCAACAAGTGTATTTAATAGAATTTCTGTAAGACTTTTTAGTGCTAATTAACTTTAAAGTTTTTGTTTTTTTCCCAGTATACAATCATATGCGGATATATTTTTTACCACAACAGGGTAACCACTGCAGCGCTGCAACATTCCGAAGGGGTAGCACTACCTTGCTTTAGCATGCAAGGGTGACTGCTGCACAACCCTCTTATTAATATCCTTGAGTCTAAGTAGAACTACTCTGCAGGGACTCCGCTCTCGCGAAGCGCCATTTTGGATTCTTGAGAGGAAATAAACACTAAGGATCCAGCTTTACAAGCTAGTGAAAGGGTATCAGTAATCGGAAAGGGCTGGAGGGCTCTTAATATACTCAGTGGGGATACACTTACGCAACTGCACGTGAAGCTTTGCGGAGGGGGTCCAGATGAAGGCAAGAAAACTAATATTGATACTCCGCAGGCCGGCTGAAAAATTAACCCTTCAAGGGACCCCGTCTACGGTCCGCTGGCGGAATGGCAGGCGTTATTTAAAATATTTAAAGCTAAACTAGATTATATCTAAAAAAAATTAGGTTAAAGCATAGGGCGTTAAATTCTCAATTAAAGATACTACAATCCTTTACTCAAATCAAAAAGCTAAAGCGTTCGTGATAGGGGACCTCTTAATCGCGGATATAGCCTATAGCTTATCGGCTCTGGTCTAAGAGTTATTTTAAAGAGTGAGCTCTACTTTAATCCTCTTAAACAAATTAAGTTACTAGAGTGAAATCACTAGTGACTTGCAGATAAAAGGTAAGGCGGTATACTCCGCAACCGAGAAGCGTGCAAAGCGCGAGCTGCTTAAATTAGTCAACAGCACAGCATGCTCCACTGTCGCGGAGGGGCTACGCTGCCCCACCTGTCGCGTGCTGAGCGTTGCTGGTGGGGCCCGTTGCTTCTAAAGGACTGCTTCTGCTTTACCTGCTCCGCGGGAGGGAGAGCCTGTCTGCGGACAGTAGGATAGCTGTTTACTTATCTATATACTTAGCTGGTAAGTTAACGTTTCACACCTTAACTACTTTCTCTTAAGATCGCTCCAGGTTTAGAGCTTCACTAAATTATTAATAAGAATACAACGGCAGGTTAACCTAAGCTAATCTACTCGTTACCTGCCTTATAGCTAAGGTACCAAGAAGCTCAGCTCAAAGGCCTCCCTCGTGCCCTCCCCGAGTGCGAGAGTTAAGGTAGAGCACCTCCTCATGATGTAAAAGGTTCGCGCCCGCGCAACCCTCCAGGATTATAGCTGCCCTGGTACCCTGCAAACTGCTTCTGCTTTAGCACAGTCCAGTGAAGCTGGCGCGAGCGTGCTGCGCCCAGCCCCTGTCCGCCCTGCTCGGGAAGGGGCAGCGCTGGTCTGGTGGTGGGATTGTATGTAACTAAAGAATAAAAAATTTTTTAACAAAAACTTAAGTGTTAGACAATCTACTCTCTCCTTTAGCAAAGCTAGCTATCGTAAACTAGCCCTGAACCATACTGCTCGAGGGTCCTGAATCGTAGTATTACAGGCTGGAGCCTGCCTCCCGGCAGGGCGGAAGGTAACTGGTGACGGGACTGAGCCCACGGCTGCGGATTTATCCCTCCCTTGTTCAACCTCCACTGTCCCTCCAGCGCTGCGAACCCTTAGCAGTGCTGGAGGTTCGCACCAGCGACGCTAGATGAGAAAGCAGTCCTTCGACTCTGGGAATTCGCAGGATTGTAGCTCCTGTTACGCAGTGCGCCCCTGCGGAGCGCCGTTAAAGCAAGGAGAGGCAGCGCAGCATGCTGGAGGAGGACAAAATTTTTTTAATCGTTGTTATTTTCTATTTATTTTCCCTTATTATTTATAATAAAATTTGATACTTTTTTATATACCCTTAAAGAACCTTAACTAGATTATTTTTAATCTTAGTTTTAGAAATTACTATACTTTAAAAAAAAGAGAATAAAATTTTAATTCTAAAGAATTGACTTTGCACTAGGACTGAAGAAAAATAAGCAATTATATCTTTTATTTTAATAAATTAAACCTTTTTTTAAGTAGAGCGTTTAATCTACAATACTAGTTCATTCTTTGCTTAACCCTTCACGCGCTTCGCTCCTGCGGCCCGCTGCACTGCGCCCTGTCCCTAACCTAAACACCAACTCGGCGGATTCGTGCTGCTGCACTGCAGCTTTACCTTGCACACGCCGGGACAGCATCGCTACCGCTCAGCGCGCGCTACGCTCCCTTTGTGGCGAAGCAGAGGAGCCGCCCTCTTCCTCGCTCCGCTTCACACGCTCCGCAGGCCGCGCCCAGTGCGGAGCGAGCGAGGGTAGAAGAGGGAGGGTGCCGAACAAAGAGCTAGGCTGGGCGGCTGCAGGACTCATAATTTTTTGCTCACCTACCTCCAACGGGTGGGCTGATTATCCCCGCTCTCCTCTATCAGATCTACGATATCCACGCCTCCTTCTGCACGCTCCCATCCGCAGTCGATCCTTACGCTCGGTGTGGTAGGTGCGCTACCCTTCCCCGACCCGAGGGGAAGCGGACCGCTAAATTAGCGGTCCGCTTGCGCCGAGTGGATCGCTGCCCAATACCTCCTCGGTCTTTATTTTATTCGATAATTTCACTACCATCTAGATCTCCTTCGTACTCTATTGCTTTAAGGATATATCACTCTTAATATAAGATAGATAAGGATCCGCTTACTTCGGTTGCTTATCCAGGTTCACAATCTGCACAGACCAGGGGCAAGGCGAACGATAATACGGAGTATGCTAAAGCAATCCTACTCCGCTCGGCCTGCGGGCCTCTCCTCCTGTAGCAGGGGGTGCGCCCCCACCTGAAGGGCGAGGGTGCAGGAGGGTTAATTAAATTCAAGGAGGCGCGGACTGGTACGCAGCCCTTGCTGGACGAGTGGACCCAGGCGACCCCCAAAGTGCTAAAGCAGGAAGGGGGTATCAGTTATATTTCTGCGATTCTTTGTTTAGGTTACTTGAGTTATAGCTCTAACTCTGCTGCGCGCGGTAACAAGGTCTCCGCTAGTCCTTTATGTGACGTATATTTCTAGGAACTTTATCTGTTCCCCTCACGCGCTCCGCTCCGCGCCTGCGGACCGCAGTGCGCAGCAGCCGAGTGAAGGTTGCTAAAGCAGTCCGCCCTGCGCCCTGCAGCGCTGGGCGAGCACACTTGCGCGCGGGCTGAATGACATTAGTAGTAATCATTAGTAGCCTTAGTTTAACTAATTATTAATAAAGAAGGGTCCTAGTTTCTAAACTCGTATTACTGCCTGCGAGCGCGAAGCGAGAGCAGGATTCGCTCCTGCGCTCGCCAGCAGCGCACTGCGCTCGCCCAGCGGAGCGCGCGGAGCGGTGGTTCTGCTTTATGCGCTTCGCTCCCTTCGGGGGCGCACTGCGCCCTGCGGGGAGATAAATTTTAATTCAGCTTCAAGTTACTTCCTTCTGATAGTATCAACTGTGGAGAAATTAATAAAAAAATATAAAGTAGGGATGTAAATAATTAATAGAGTAGTAAAATCTGTAAAATTGTCATCTAAAATTAAAGGAGCAAAAGAAAATGAAATTAAAAACATAAACCCTGAAATAATATAAATAATATATGAAGGTATCAATCCTGTATCTAATTTAGCAATATTTTTTGCGATCTTAGTGAATAAATTAGACAATCCAAAAGGTCCTACTAATTCTATAACACCTTTATCTAATTCTTCTGATATTTTGTAACCAAATTTAAATCCTTTGCTAATGATATAGTTATTATATAGTACATCAAAGAAGTACTTACTATTTAAAAAGTGTATATTTTTGATATAAATATTGTTTCAGTTAATTTTATTATAAAATTAATATTTTTATTATATAGATATAAGGCTAATAAAGCTCCAATTATACTTAAAAAAGTAGGTAAAAGTTTAATAATTACGGGTAAACTAAATTCAGCCTCAACTAATGTTACATTATCAGGGTGTATAAATAATGCATCACTTCCTTTAGAAGCAGTTCCCGCTAAAAAATCAGTACCAATTCCAACAAATAAATCTGAAAAGATATAACCAAAAAAAATACTAAATATACCCAAAATAATCATAGGTAATATCATTATAAAACTAGACTCGTGTGAATTTAAATATGTTAATTTACCCCCATTAGGCGAAGTTAAGAAAACTAAACTTATTAACCTAAAACTATAAAAAGCAGTTAAAAAAGCAGTTAATGAACCTAATACAAAAGCATAAGTTCCACTAAAGCTATATTTACTATAAGCTAATTCTAATATTAAATCTTTACTATAATAACCCGAAACAAAAGGTAAAGCCATTAATGAAATAGTTCCTACCATTAATAAGGAATAAGTAACGGGTAAAAATTTAATCAGTCCACCCATTTTTCTAACATCTTGTTGATCAGCTACTGCATGAATAATTGAACCACTAGCTAAAAATAGTAGAGCTTTAAAGAAACTATGATTTACTACATGAAATAAGGCCACATTATACTGACTAAGCCCTACAGCCATCATCATATAACCTAATTGACTAATAGTAGAGAAGGCAACAATTCTTTTTAAATCATTTTGAACTAGCCCCGATGAAGCAGCTACAAAAGCAGTGGTAGAACCGATAAAAGTTAATATTAGTAAAGCTGTAGGGCTATATTCTAAAATAGGTGAACTTCTTAATAGTAAATAAATTCCCGCTGTAACAAGAGTAGCAGCATGTAGTAAGGCTGAAACTGGAGTAGGGGCTTCCATACTACCAGGCAACCAACTATGTAAAGGGATTTGAGCGGATTTAGCTAAACTACCCCCATTAATAATAATGAAATAATAGTAATAGCTAATTGATTAGCACTAGGGGCTAATGAAAAAATAGACTCGTAATTAAGAGTCCCAAATAAACCAAATAAGGCAAAGAAACCGATACTTAATATCATATCCCCTGTTCTATTCATAGTAAAGGCCAATATAGCTGCTTTGTTTGCTTGTATTCTTGTAAAATAGAAATTAATTAACAAATAGGAGAATACCCCAATTGCTTCCCAACCCACAAACATTACAAAATAATTCCCTCCAAAAACTAAAACTAGCATACCTCCTGTGAAAGCAGATAAGTAAGCAAAAAATCTTTGATTATGGGCATCAGTTTCTAAGTAAGAAATACTATAAAAGTGAATAAGAGTAGAACAATATAAAACTGCTAAACCTAATGAAATACTTAAATTATCGAATTTAAATTCTCAATTGATATTTAAAACTCCAGAGTCTACTCAAGAACCTAAATTTAAATTAATAGATTCTCCACCACATAGTACTATTTTATAAAAAGCAATACTAATTAAGATTGAAGAAAGCAGTAAAGATAAACAAGTAATAAATTGGGAACCTTTAACTCCTAATTTTCGCCCTAAAAAACCCGCTACAAAAGAACCTAATAAAGGTAAAGCTACAATATTTATTATAATTAAATTAAGATTCATATATTAAACTTTTAGTAATAAATTTCCTCTTAATTTGTAATATGCTACTATTATACTTAATCCTATTATTGATTCAGCACCTGCAATTGATATTATATAAATACTAAATGTTTGACCTATATTGTCATTTAATTCAAAAGAAGTAATTAATATAATAAAGTGCAAAAACTATATTAGTTTTAGATTACAAAGCCTGACGCTTAACCTTTACGGTCCCATATTACGCTCTGCTTCGCCTCGCGCTTCGCTCCTGCGGCCCGCAGCACTGCGCCCTGCTGAGGACTGCAGTGCTAAAGCAGTCCGCCTTGCGGCGTGCACGGAGGGAGGTGGGGTGGCCTCAGTAGTCTGCTTTTACCTGGACCTCTTGCACTCCGGCGCTACGCTGGTCTGATAAGAGCCTTGCACGCTTCGCGCCTGCATGTTTCGGTCAGCCTAGCCTGGCTAGCTAAAACAGAAGGAAGGTAAAGCAGGCGAAGTAGCTCTAAGCCGGAGTCGAGAAGTAGTACTGAACTCCAGGTATTTTCGAGTCCAGGCTGGTTTTGGTTACACCGGGTGGCTGGCTGGCTATATTGGTAAGGAGTTGACTCCGTAAAACTGCCCTTGCCGGTAGCTTAACTCCGCAAGGTGCTTCTACTTTAGCTGCAATACAGCAGTCCGCAGTCGCGAAGCGCGGGAAGGGTTTGCACCAGGCGCCCTTTGCGATTGCTGAGTAGTAGACGGCCAGCTGAGGGTAGGGCGCGTTGCTAAAGACACCCTCAACTGTGCAGATGCGAGACTGATACTCACCGCACCCGCGGTACGCGAGTAGTGCTTTCGAAAGGCGCAACCGCTCCGCGTCAACTGAGAGCCAGCCAGCGCTCCAGGCTCCGAAGCTTGGGGACTGAGGAAGCAAGTGAAGGAGCTTTAGGTACCGCAGAGAAGCGCTCACCCTTATTAGCGGGTACTGTTTCGCGCTGTGGCGGTTATTGCACAAAGGGTTTTTCTGCAGACGCGGAGAGGCTGTGGTACCAAACAAAGGGTCAGCCATCAGACTCGGTCCCGCGCTTCGCTCCAACGGCCTGCTGTGCTTTAGCTGCTACGCTACTCAGAGTTCGGGCTAGCGGCCTCGAGACAGCGGAGCTCCTCAGAGCTTCGCTCGCTGACGGGAGGGGTTAGGTATCTGAGTCAACACAGAGGGCCTACCCCCTGCAGCGCATTCCCTGATAGGTTAGCAGCAGGCGGAAGGCTGCGGTACGATAATATGTGGGAGTCAAAGTTATATATCGAAGAGTGGGACTCTCCTTTCTACCTAATCTGGACCCTTGGAGGCTACGCCGTAACCAGCTCTACATTACCTGATCCGACCCTGCCCTTACCTTGCCAGCTTCGCCCCCATCCTCCGCAGTCGCGAAGCGCGGCGGGGGAGGGGCTGTATCTGTATGAGTGCAAGGGTTGAAGCAATCATTCCTCTCATTGAAGTAAGGAGAAGGCCAGTAAGGCAACTAGCTACTGTCCTGAGGCTAAAATTATAAATCAGCAACACTAGAGAGGGTTAATATTAGCAGAGACGGAGCGCCTGAAACTGGAACATATAAAATTTTTAAATAAGCGCACAAGCGAGAGGGTTGCAACTAATATATAAGACCTATTCTATCTTCCGGTATAATAAATTAAAAAAGACTTGTTATCATCTTATTAAGCGCGGCGCATGCAATTAGTACACTTCTACTTTAGCATTCCCGTTTATTCAAGTACGCTTATTTTCGAAAACGCCGAGCAGAACTTAGTTCTCTAATTATTTTTATACGGAGCCTACGTAAGGTCAATAATAATAAACCGCCAAATATGGATTATAAGTTATCTTAACAAACCCGCGCAGCTTTAGCAACCTGCAGTGCTAAAGCAGAACCACCTCACGCGCTCCCGCGCTTCGCTTCCTCCCTTGCCCTTAAGGGTGGGCGGGCGCGAAGCATCCCTCGCTCCGCATGCGCCCTGCGGAGCGTGCGTAGGGGAGGGGTGGCAGGGCGGCGAGCGCTAAACCACCGAGCCTTATGGTCAGCATGCGCGTAATACTGCTGCTCCACCAGCCCCGCTGCTCCGAATGGGGTGCGCGCCGCGCGCTTCGCGGCGCAGCACTGCGGCCCGCAGCACTGCGCCCTGCGGAGGACTGCTGCCCCTGCGGAGCGCTGCGCGGGTGGGGAGGGCATAATTTTAAGTAAAAAAAGTCGATGCTAATAATTTCTTTTTTTGTAGCAGTAGCTACGCACCCTTCGGGCGTGCTCCCCTATTATATTGCACTTTCCATTAGTAGAGAGGGAGCACAATAAGAGAAAGTGTAGGGAGGTATACTAATTGAGAACAGTCGAGTTCATAATTTTTTTATTGCAATCTAAATAAAAAATAAATTTTTTGCAAACTAAATAAAAAAAATTTATTTTTCAACCTATTATTCCACTAGATAGCTTGCTCTGTCTTTTTTGCTTGCTAACCATGGCTTGGAGGCTAACCCTCCCCCCCTTTTGAGGTTTAAGCTAGCAGGGCTGGTTTTACGCTCCGGAGCTTTTGTTTAGGAGAAGACCTCTTCGCGCCCTGCAGGCGCCCTGCTCCTTCGGTTACCCCTTGCCCGCCCGCGCTACTCTCTGCGCCAGCAAGGGTCGCGAAACACCTGCGGAGCGGTGCTTCGCCTGCAGGGGGGTTGCCCTTATTTCTCCGCACTCGGAATGCTCCAGCTGGACTACAGCTTAAGTAGCACAAAGGGCTTCGCAGCACAGCAGGCACGCAGCATGCGCGCATGCGCGTAAGCCGCAAGCGCGTAGGCCGCAACCACGAACCCTGCGTAGGGCTTGCGGAGTAGGCAGCATTTGTCTATTAAAAGTTTAGCTTTTTCAGAAGTGAGTGGCTTGTTATTGTACACTACCAATTAATAAATATCTCTAGTGAAAGATTACCCTCTACCTAACCCAGGTTTTCGCCCCGCAGGGCGGACAATCGGGTAGCCCGGGCGCTACTGCCCTAAAGCAGAGGCAGACAGCGGACCGAGGACTGTATGGTAGTATTCACCCTTCTTAATCTCCAGCCTACACAACCCTCCCCACGCCTGCCGAGTAACCTTCATAATCCTTAAGGTGGAGTGTAAAATTATTCTAGTTCGGGGTACACACGCTCCGCAACCGGTACCGTAATATGCGGTACCGGGCTACGCGGAAGCGCTCTACTAGTGCCTCACCGTTTTACAAGGTTAAAAAAAAAATTTTTTTTAATCTCCCGCAAAGTAAAGGTTTTGGCTAAATACTAATGACCAAAGCAGTCGAGGGTCGCAAGCGCGAAGCTCCAGCATGCGCGCCCATCCTCCGCAGTCGCGAAGCGCGGCGGGAGCGAAGCGCTAGGGGACTACGAACCCTGCCAACAAGCAGGAGGCGAACACCGCAGCAGAAGATTTAAGAACAAAAATTAGACTACTAAAACTATCGAATATTACTAAATTAACTATGCGTAAAGGCCCGTAAATATCTCTGCAACGCTCCACTGTCGCCCTGCTACCGCTGCTGCGCGACCGCCCCTCCTCACCTTAACTTTGCAGAGATTCGCAGTAGCAAAGCGCGAGGGGTGCTAAAGTTAGGCGGAGAGAGTTAGCAGTCCAGGTGCATGAATGAGTATTGCTCTCCTGCTTACCCTCTGGTCACACCTCATCGGCTCAGCGAGTTCAAGTTGAGCGTAGCCTCGATTAGCTTCGTAGGCTAAGGTCAGTAGAAAAAGAAGTTTTTTATTGTTAAAGATACTCACTAAAGAGCATGAGGCGGTAACCTATAAAGAATTTTTTAAGTTCTTTTTATTTTCATATAGTAGGTCATTAACTTTTACAAGTTAAGGCTGTCAATGGTAAAAAAAAATTACATGCAGCTTAACGTGAGTTATGAGTACTATATGATA